CCGAAAAGCATGGAAAATGCCCTGGATGAGGATTGAAAAGAAGGCTGAGTAATGTATTTACTGGCTCTCGACTTTTTCATGGATTTCCAGAAGGTCAAGTTCATTTTGGACCCTTGGCATCTTGAGGCCTGGGCCATAGTCAGTAGAGCATCTCTGTGCCTAGCCCGTCGGCCTTGTTCTCCAGGGGAAGCAGGAGCAGTCCTTGGTGGCCCTGTGTGGTGAAAAGGAAAGCCTTCCTGGTGGCAGGTCACTGAGCAGGGGTGAGACCCGTGGCTGTTGTGCTCCTTCCAGGCTTCTGGGACTTTGCTGGTTGCTGCTGGTGGCCTCCTTCGGATCATAAGGTAAACCTGTGAAGGAACCAGTTACTGTCTGTCCAAGCAGTCTGCTGCTTTCTGGTTTTCCCAGATGTGTGTGTCTGGTAACTGAACACTTGAGGGGAGAGCTGTGGGCAAGGTGCTGCGCCATCTCTAGGAGTAAGTGCCGGGAGAAGAGCTGGCAGCGGTCCTTCCTCTTCTTCCTGGGACTGGAGGTTTGCTTTGCTCTTATGCTTGGAAGGAGAGCCATGATTTCTGGCCCAAGGCACAGTCATTACTTAATTTACTGACTGTTTCCACTTAGAATATATGCTCTGTGTCTGCTAGGTTCACCCTCTTTTTCTGTAGCAGTGCCTGACCCAGAGTAGGCACCTGTGAATAGTCATTGAATTAATCAGCTGATGGGTGCCTCCAGGTGCTTAGAACCATACTGGGTGCTTCCCCTTTCCCCCTTCCCTCTGAAATATGATCGTCTGTTGCATGTGTCAGTGTCTCTGGATCTATTTAGTTTGTCAGATTCTTTTGTTCGTTAGCTTATTTAAAAAAAAAATATGTCTTTATTGATTTCAGAGAGAGGAAGGAAAAGGGAGAGGGATAGAAACATCAGTGATGAGAGAGTCATTGATCGGCTGCCTCCTGCATGCCCAGACGGGGGACTGAGCCCGCAACCGTGGCATGTCCCCTGACCGGGAATCGAACCCCAATCTCCTGGATCCTAGGTCAATGCTCAACTGCTGAGCCACGCCCGGCCGGGCTAAATTGATTTTTAAAGAGAGAGAGAAACATCGACGTGAGAAACATCGGTTGCCTCCCCTATGTGCCCCGACCTGGGATCGAATCCAACCAACTGAGCCACCTGGCCAAGGCAAAATACTGTTGCTTTTTAACACATGTTCTGTAATCCTACTTTTGAAATTCCATTTTTGGAAGTACTTAAAATAACGTGGGCATGATTCTGTGTTTATGGCTTAAAAGGGGAGACAGGAGCTAGTCAGTGCCTGATCAGTCACCCACACAGGCATTTCCCTGATGAGATGCTGTGGGATTTAGGCTTTTCCCTGCTGTCACCACGCCAGCATAATGAGGTTGCCCCAGCCAGCTCATCCTTACTCACGGAGACTGCTCAGCTGCCTCCTAATTGCGACACGGGCTGAGGGCCTGATGTGTCTGCACACTGTCTCCCTGTAGGAGCCACCTCAGTGAAGATTACTTGGCACCCATGCGGGGAGTTAGCCCTCAGGTTTTCAGGGGCTGCCCTGGCATGGTGTGAGGGCTTCGGGTCCCTGTGTGGGACTGGGCCACTGGAAATCAGTGTTGTGAGATGCAGTGACAGTGCGGCTCTAATCACACTTCCTGCCTGCCCCAGTCTGCTTCTGACCATGATATATGTGGACATGCACATGTAATCATGTCACATGTACATCATACACAGATCCCTGAGTGCCGGTTTTGTGTCACATTGTACCCTGTCACCCTCTCACAACAGCAGGATGATTGAGTGGACCGTTAAATCCGTAGAAGTACAGGAAGCACCAGCCTCATCCATGCCCCCTGCCATCCACTTGGCCACCTTTGTTCCTTCCACACTCCGCCACCACCTCCAGACCACACAGCTTTGTCCTGCCTGGGTTCCTGTAAGTCTCCTTACCAGTCTGCGTTCTGACCTATTCATCTCTGTCGGCCCTCAGAGCACACAGGTGACATGATCTCTGAGTGCATGTCTGACTGTGGTCTCTTTCTGAAACCCTTGATTGTCCCCCTTGGCGTGTGTGTTAGGAGGTGAGCCCATATTACCTTGCTGTCCTGGGTGTGCTTTCTCATCCACCACACAGAGCAATACTTCTCTGGGACATCTTCCCTCTGTGCCCCATCCACTTGCTTTGTTTCTGGAACAACCCCCTTGTTTTGGGCCTCAGGTCACTTCCTCTAGGCAGCCTGGCTTGACCGCAATACAGTTTGGGATTCTATGTGCTTAGTCACCAGTGACTAGCTTCCTGGGGCCACACACTGGCTACATTTTAGCCCTTTTTGTCTTGCTGATAGCTCCATGTTCTTCAGGCTTCATTTCTGATTTTTCTATTCTCTTTATTCGTGCTTTACTCTCCGCCTAACTCCCCAGATTTCACACATCCTGAGATCTCTGCCTCCACTCCTAGTCTCTCTCCTGAGCCTTTCAGCTACCTTTGACCTGTCTACCCTCAATGCCTGTTTCTTTTCTCCCTTCCCTAGTTCAGGTTCGTGGTTACATCTGTTTCTGGCATAGTGCCTATGTAGAGTGTGGGTTCTGGTGTCAATGCCCTGGTTTAAACCAGGCTCTGATATGTACTGGCTGTGGCTTTGGGCGTGTTCCTTGACCCTGATTATCTTGACCTCCCTTGCAAGTGAGATGGTGACCATATAGTGATAGGAGGATCACATGCGATGGTGTTTGCAGAGTGTGTGCTTTTCACACAGTAGAAGGAACCTCTCAGTTTTGGCTGTTGTTTAGTTTCATTGTTATTCCGAGCACCTCTATCACTCACATGACCCAGAAGCCTTTGTAGTTAGTGAAGGCTACCTTTCCCACGACCCCAAGCCTCTGTGTCCACACACTGTCTTTCCTCGTGCCCATGCTGGTCTGCTGGGCTAACCCCTCTTCCCACTATACCTGGCATAACCCAGCCCCTTGGTAGGTTTCTCAAAGGCCAGCTTTCCAACTCTATGTCCTCTGGCCACTGGCCATTACTATCCTCAAAAAAAAAAAGATTTGGAATGATATGGTGGAAGCCTGGCCTTGGGGCCTTGGGCATGGGAGGCTGGGAGGGGGGCTGAGAAGATGGAGAGTGAGGAAACTCCTGGGGAAGCAGTCTCTCTGGGGCTGCCAGGTTGCAGGAGACTGGTTTCAGAGGGCAGGAAGGGTGTGCTGGTCTAGGAGTGGTGGCACCTCTGGGACAGTCACAAGACACTCCTTTAACAACCACATTGTACACCTAAAAATTAAATCAGTCTTCTCAATTCTGAGACACACCATTGGCATAGATGGTTTTTCCCCCAAAAAAGCTACATTGTGGGTGTATACCCAGATGTAAGACACTTCTTCACTCAGGAACATAAATGTTTTAGACTCCAGGAATTTTGGCAGATCTGGAACTGGTCTTGTGAGTCCTTCAGGGTTGTTGGGGCACCTCTCCTTTCCCTGCAGACCAGGTGGACCTGCTGAGCCTCTGCCCTGAGCCCCACGCTAAGGTGAAGGATCATCAGGTGAGGTGTTGCTCTGGGGAGATATGTGCCATTCTTGAGAGCACATGTGGCCCCAAGGTGTGGGCCAGCCTGAGGCTTGCCAGCAAGGCCTGTAGGCTAGAGAGTGACACAGTGAAGAGCTTATCCCTCCAAACCACACGGGGGCAGAGCAGATAATGAGGTGGTGGGGTGCCAGCATGCAGGGCTCAGACCACCAGGTGCTAGGGAAAGGCTCAGCTGTCTGGCAGTCCCTGTGCAGGGACAGACCTTCAGCCTATCCTTTTCCGGCATTTCTCTTGCATGTAGCTTGTGTACCTCAATTCTGACACTGGAGCTGGTAGCCGGGTTTACTTTTGCTACATTTTCAGGACAGGAGCCATACTGGTAAGTGAGGGAGGTGAGGGGCCTGCAGCCCACTCGGTTCTAAGCTGGGTGGAGCTGTGCAGTGGAGGTTGTTGGGGAAGGCGGTGGCCTTTAGCATGTGCTCTCTGCAGTGGCTCTGTAGTCCCCACAGCAGGGCAAGTGGGTGCTGTCCTGCTTCATGGGTGAGGAAACAACACAGAGAAGTTCAGCACCTTGCCCACGGTCACGAGGGTATGGAGGCGCCTGGCTGCATGGCCAGCTGTGTGTTTTAGAGTGATTCTGTTGGGGAGGTGGCCAGCCTCTAGAGCAATACCATCAGCGTTGTCTAGGAGTTGATTAGAAATGCACAGTTGTGAGCCCCATCCCAGACCTGCTGGATCAGAAACTTGGACTTAACAAGCCCCTCCGGGTGGGCCTGGTGCCAGCTCAAGTTTGAGAACCATTGCCCTGGTCCAAACCACTGTCACCTGGGACTGGGTGACCATAGAGCCTCCTCCTTGCTTTGACTCCAGGCTCCAAGCACCATATTTTTGCTTTTCGTTTGCTCCTTTGTCCACTCACTTCCTGACATCGAATTGGCTGTGGTTAGCTTCCACCTCCCAGTGGAACCCAGGCCCCTCATTCTCCAGGCCTCTGCACCTTTCTCTGCGCTGGATCCTCCTGCTGGGCTACTCCATCCACACTTGGTTCTTCTCCCCTCTCCCATTGCCAGTGACAAGTCTCAGCTGGGCACACAGGTGAATCAGGGTGGGTGGCTCTTGTCTCCTCTCCCCCAGAGGATGACGGTGATTTCATGGGAAGAGCCAGGGGCTCTGGCTGGGCTCTGGGCTCTGTTCCAGCCTGGGAAGCGCCGTCCCTTTCCATTGTGAAGAGTCAGTGAGGTCACGTGCGGCAGTTTGATTTGCTTGTCTTTCCTCAGTTGCTATCACAAGAGTTTGAACTGCCATGGTGGAGGTGGATGGCAGGCTTTGGAGTCAGTGGTCCTGCGTTATACAGCAGTGTTTGCTTCCCAAGAGGAGCGTGGGGTTAGGGACACGTTGCATAGTGCTCAGCAAAGGCCTGGCCTACAGAAAGGACGTGATCGGTGGAACCAAGTGTGGTTGATGGTGTAGGTGGCAGTGTTTTTAACTTGATATCTTTGTTTTTCAGGACTTGAAGATAGAGCAAATCTGTGTGGCCCAAAATGCCTGTGCTAGCCGGAGGATGAGGAAGCAGCGGGTGTGAGCAGCTGAGAACTTCCGACGTCCTTGCAGCCTTGGTTCCGGTCACTTGTGTCCCTGTAGGTTGCAGCCAAAGCACCATGAGCACTGTGAGTTTTATCAGCTTGGGAGTTTCATTTTACTTTCAAGGCCAGGCAACTGCCTTATTTCGCATGGCACATCAAGGTGCTTCTGAGTAACCCCAGTTCCAGGCCTTCGGAAGTTAGAGCAGCGTGTGTGTCTCAGTCGGGCCAGTGTCTGGGTGGTGTTCAGAGGGAATGCTGGGGGGCAGTGGCTGAGGGTTTGGAAATTCCATGCCTCCAGAGCAGCTTCTGTCCTGGAATGTTAGGACTCTGGTGTATGTAGTCATCCACAGCCCAGTTTCCCTTTTTCCTGTTGTAGGTAGTTCAGGTCTAGTGTGAGTGAAGTGGTGAGAATCCTTAGGGTTCTCTTTAGTCACCCTTGGTGACCAAAGTCGGTGCATCAGTGTCACTGCTGTTGCGAGCTTTTCTCAGGTGGCAGAGGCAGCTCTGCTTTGGTGTAGCCAGATGTGACCGGGAGCCCCTCAAACTCCAGGGAAGGTTGCCT